ACCTACACAATGCAGAAGTTTTCAAACCTCACCAGGGGGCATGTCTTTATCCAAAGGAATATTGTAGTATGGAATAAGCCATGAGCCTTGTTGCTAAAGACAATACCCTGGATTCTTTCAAAACAGCTGGACGACATTCTTAGACCAATTATCTACTTATTACAAAATGTGGTAGATGAGTTGAATGGCCTGCTGTCATTTGTAATCGTTCTCATGTTATTAAAACAGAGCTACCTTAAACTGTGACTGTAAACTATACTGTATACTCTCCAGAACACCTCTGCAAAGAAAACACTTTCAAAGTTCATGAACACATGTTCGCTTCTGATTGCAAGTAGATTTCACACAAATGTAGTACTTTAATATTATGGAATGTTTAGGTTTCTAACAGATTTACGACAAAATTAATTGGATCCCTCAATCCATAGATTACTGATTGAAGCGGATGACCAAATGACTGGCTCTCGAGAATTTCCTGAGGCTTGCCTGAATCACTGACCCTTTAGAATTCATCAGCAGCAGTGGTTAGGTTCATTCCAGGCAGGACAGGTTTACTCCAAGATTTTCCCTGTTAAGGAAAATACTGGCTGCAATCACAATGAGGAATTGCTAAACGAATACACCCTAAGCTTTAAATAAATCTAGATTTATTGGATTAAAAATTACAACATTAAGAACATTTTCTATGAAACTGCAGTAACATCTACAAGTTACTTGTCCAAACTAAAAACCTTTTTTTTTAATTTCGTGTAAAGAATACCTGAACAATAAAATGTCATAATTTGCACCTTGTGATGTGTTGCAAAGCACTGTGAGTTTTAATAAAACAGTTTTGGTTTTTGTAGTATTTTGTACATGAGAAATTATTGAGTCAAATGTTTGTCAATAGTTCCCAATTAATCTCAGTGAACTATTCATAATATTTTGGAAATGTATTTTTATGTTAATATTCATTTAATTAAAATATAAAGGTGAGGCACAATTTCAAAGTTTTTCCTTACAGTGATATTCAAAATCCATTTTATAAATCACATAGAAGGACCTGAAAAACTGAAACTAGAAAATGTAACTGCCATTTTTTACTTACTGATTGCAGACTGAAGACAGTGTAAATTTGTGTTCATATATTTCAGTTCAAAACTATTAGTCTTAGCTTTGGGGCTACTGAGACACTAGAACATCTGAAACCTATTATAACACAGGATGTTCTTGTATCCATTACTTTATGTGGATTATTGTGACCTGGGCATTTCTAAATATGAGTATTAACAGAAAAAAACACTTTCTATGAGGTTTAGTATGATGTATATAAGAATGAAGCAATAGTTGGTTCTCCTAACAGAAATAAAAGCCGCAGTTATAGAAATGTAGATATAGATTTGTGTTCGACAGCTTTAGCTAAGCAACCCTCCAGTACAAACAAAAACACTGCACAATGAATATCTGCAATAACCTCTGGCATGGACCATACCATAGCATAGCCATGATGCCGACATCACCGCCAGTGGCATGCCAATACCGTGCCACTTTTCAACACTTTTTGTTCAAGTCAAAGTAGGCCTGTGCTCCTGTAGTCCTTCTGCCCAGTGCAGAAAAGTACTTACCCTCAAGGAGAAATGGAAAGTGTACAGACTATGCCACTCCATAAGGGATCTTTAGAATGTATCCAACATCCACTTTGTGAAGCAGTGTGCATCCGTTAATAGATAAGGAGCTCAAACTGGAAGAACGCTATTCATGTGCCACCTGTAGCTGACATGCCTGTGAAAATCTATTAGCATCTTTATGAACTACTGTATACTGTTATAACTGTTTGGAGAACGAAAACACAAAACAACGGTGTTCTACGTTGCCTGAAATGTGAAACTGTAAGCAAACAAATAGGTTTCATTTAAAGTAATAATTTAAAGTCAAATGTTTCAGCCACGGAGAATTAAACGGCAAAGAGAAGAGACCAATTCCACATTAGGAGTCTCTGGGGGAAGATACTATACATTAGAGCTGGAACACACCGACTTCACTGGTGCAGTCTCTAAATCTTCCCTCTGTGCAGATTTCCTACAGCTGATTGAAGGGTGACAAGCCCGCACTGAGGGGGTCCAGAAAACAATAGCAGGTTTTATTTTGGGAATGGCTGGTTTTCGTTCTGCTTCTTGCACCGACCCCTTCCTGCTTGTGTCCAGCACTGGGAACTCTGGCAGCAGAAGAGTTCGATTACAATCGGTGACATCTGAACGCTCCACATCCCTACTGACTGGAAACCTCCATGAATGTTTCATTCCCTATTCCAAAGGGTGGAGGTGATGGGGAGGGAGAAGTGTAGTAAAAAAAAAAACCCTACCGCCTCGTCTGGATTCTCCGCCGTACAGAAAAAGGGAGAGGAGACACGCTGCCAGGGGAATAAACACCTTACGCCGATGAAGGTGGCTGAATTCAAATTCTGCGCAAATTCGAAACGTTCCTCATCACCCCAATGCACCCGAGCTGTTTTTTTTTCCCCGACACTGTCGCTCCTCACACATCAGCGCTGTGACCTTGATGTGCTGAAGGCGCTGCCGATCCTTGGTTGCTAGGATTTTTCCATCTCGCTGCTTCCTGTTTCATGACTAATCCCGAGGGACAAGCCGTTAAGATTGCGAGAGACCGGCGTGAGTAATGAGTTTTCCCAGCTAAGCCTCTAATGAATTTGCTGCTGCCAATGGTAGAGCCCCAACATCAAATCATACTGAATATTTATGCATTGTAGGGTGTTACGAAAAAAGCCCTCTACTACTGTTACCATGGCAATAGCTGCTTGATGTGCATGCTCAGCAGCTTAAAGTACATATACTAAGCTGTTATTAATATTTACTAAAGAGTGTTTGGCAAAAAGGGGATTTTCTTTTAAATGGCTAGACTTTGCTTTTGCAAATAACCTACTGAACTGGGCAACAAAGGCCTTTATATCCAGAGTCAAAGTTTAAATTCCTTGGCAAATATCAGCCTATTTCTCCATCAGTGGGGCTTAGTATCACCTTTTATGCAAATACACAAAGACACAAGAATTACCGCAGAACTTGAGGAAAAGGTTGCAGGAGCCACTGTTCCATGACAACTGGTAAAATGACAAGTCTGCCATTTGACTTTGAATTTGCGAGACCTATCCCAGCCCTCAGCGCAATCTAAAGGCAACCCCGACATTACAGTACAACTGGCAATACTGTATTGGATATCATGATGACACCTCAACATGCAAGAGCAAGAATATAAAACACACACACAGAGAATGCTCAACATTAGTATGTTGAAGGCAATGTTTCTGTTTAGCAAAATAACTGCAGCTGTAAATCATGCTACAATACAACACAGAAAAAGTGCTAAATGTTTTTTATGGATATGAAGGCTCAGTGAATTCTTTTCGAACTGAACTCACCAATATACTTTCCTTTCCTTTCTCAAAGCAAGATGCTTCCAAACACAGGCGTTGTCAGACCATTCCAAGTGCTGAAATAAACTTGCTTTCTGCCTCTGAACATGAGGAAATATCACCATAATATTTGAAAAACAAATATTGCTTTGTATTCCAACAGGAACACTCTCATGTCAGTTTGCAAGTACACGACCACCTCACCTTAACCAGGCATTTAGGAGCTCCGTGGTTTACTGAAGTCTGGTCCAATATAGATTCAAACACCCACAATACCTAGGAATTCTCCATAAGAAAGTACTTGTTCCTCCCATTTCTGGCATAATGTGCAACGAGAGAATCTGTTACATTAAGTGGTTTAGTGAATCAATTTGAAAAATCAATTTTTATTTATTTTTGACAAGAGTCAAATAAATGGATCTGTTTTAAACATCTGCATGGAAAGCCTGGACATTTGTTGCCATGAGACTGCAGAGTAGTACTGTCAAGGTGGCTGCTGTTCGGACAGACGTTTGTTTGGTGGGGGCAGAAGGGTACTCTGCCCTCTTATCTAGCCAGTCCCAAGCCACAAGGCTCTGTTAGCAGGGTGTCTCCATTTAACCCTACGCCACCAACCCGAAATAGCAGATTTTAAATCTGCTTTGTCACAAAAAGCAAATAGCCTGTAGCCATTTTGGTTCAGAGGAATTTAAGAAATTTTGAGGCTAGCCATGCAACTACTGTAGTTTCAAGGTAACTGTCTCTCACTGACCTTATTTCAGCAGTCACACCCCAGAATAAAATGCATGCAGGTTTCATTCCATCCAGAATGCCCCAGTTAAAGAAGCCTTTTGTAGTGCAAAGAAGTTCAGTACATAGCTGATGTTTTTCCTTTTCTTTTCATTTCCATTTTAAATGTATGAGGTCATCTCTGCTACTTTACTGAATATTTATAAATGCAAAGTTCACAGAAACAGCACATGGATGAACAAAGACACTCCTCAGCAGTCTGAAGGCTCCTCTCTACAACATGGCACCCTCTTCTATTTTAAGCACAGCATATCTTTTGATTAAAAACATCACCGCTGATAACTGCAGTCATTCTTCAAAGGCTTACTGCCTATCAGAACGGAAGCTGATGATTGAGTTACTGGAGTGAGGGCACGCGGAAAGTAAAGGGTTACCCCATTAAAAGGATTTCACCCAGGGCACCATGTAAAACGGGTCCTTTCTTCCAAAAAAAAAACACTTACAAAGAAAAAGAATATTAAAATCAACATCAAGCCCAACAGGGTCAAACAAATCGTATCCCATTAAAGCAAAAGAAAAGAAAAAAAACAGTACCACAGCTCTTTATCTAGAAGACATTGTGGGCCATTAAGAACCACGATAGAATAGGCAAATGATTCTTATAATAAAATTATTAGTTCCCTCATAAAAACAGACTGTGAAAGCTACAATTCCCAGTCTGCATTTCAAGTGACTGCACATTTATCAGTTGAACACTGAAAGGACAACCATCCTCATATTTCCCAGCTGACAGCATATCTTTTTGTGAGTGATATGACAATCACATCTTTTTAGAACTGAATTCAGAAACAATGCATTTCTCTACCTGCAGGCAGAGGGGTCCACGAGTTACATCTCCCAATGGTCCATCCTGAAAACAGGTAAAAGCAAATGCCTCTTTAGAATGCTCCCTTGAAGAAGCTGCTCCAGATCTGACACATCCTTTGACACAGGTCTGTGGGAGAAGCAGAAAGCACGAACAATCTCTCCTGTCCCAGCGGACTCAGCCTTCCAAAGCCATTTCCTAGTTTACACTAAAACAAAAGGCCCCACTCGATGGCTTCCACAGCAGTGAAGCCCAGTGCAAAGGCACAGATGTTGCTGCTGTGAGTCAGTCCCTACCTCAAGCTAACGCCCATTTTCAACACCCCAGTTCCTATAGGATGCAGCTTAAGCTAAGCTACCGCCCTCTCTCTTCCTCTCCTTTTTTTCTGCTTGTGTGCGCGTTTGAAATAGCTGGTTTGCTCAAAGCAGAGCTGTTGAAAGGAATGCCTGGAGGTTTGCACACACGCGCATGCATGTGTGTGTGTGACTGCAGCACTAACCCGGTACATCAAGTTTATTAAGGCTGTCAACTGTTAGGAGGGCAGCCGTGTCAGTCTGACTGCACAAGACGAGACTTGATTGCAATGTCCTTCAAGATAAGTTCGCCAAACGAACAACACAGGCGCAGTCTTGCCAGCTTTTCTCTTAAGATTCAAATGTTTCCTTCTTGAAAATCTGTTTTAGATTTCTTCAGTCGTTTAATAGTGCCCAACATTGTCTACACAGAACAGTCTACAAACACGGGGAGAAGCGAAAGCAAGGACTGACAGAAAGCCAGCTGATGACAGATAAGCCAGTTCAATATTCCTCCTGCGATTGTTTTTTGTTAAGACGAGCCCCATCGCCACAAGCTTTTTTCCACTTCCAAATGAGAACGGGTGATTCCATTCAAGTAAAGCTTTGCCTAGGTCAACCCACAAAACTCAGAGCAATTAAGTTCAAACAAATGACCAAATTTTGAAATGTGCCCCAGTCTAAAAATCCTGCAAAAGTCCCTCAGTTACATTCAGAAAAGTAAAGTTCTAACAGCAGGTCAACCAAAAGAATATCTTGGAAATAAAAAAGCACATAGAAGGGCATCTCACTTTTGACCACCAGAGCAAAGTATTCTGCCTGAAATGCCCCATGTGCAGATGGAAGCATCACAAGTGCCCACAAGAGCCAGAACCCAGCCCTGTTGCTCCAGTCCTCGCTAACCGTAATCTGCATTTCACGAGGCTGGTTTGTGACCCAGCACCTCTTGTCGACACCGACAAGGTCAATCTCCGAGGAGTTTCACACGTCAGTCGGGGCAGAGTGGCGCTCGCGCAGTCCCAGGTGTCACGTGAGACACGGCGCCGGTGGGCTCAGGGCTGTAAGATGGAACTGCCGCACCACCTCGGGAGGCATTAGCACTGAAGAGGTGGCACAGTCACCTGCAGTCGACACTCCAGAACCCAACAGGTCCCGGCTTCCTTCCAGTGGTGTCCCTTCATATCAATAAGCGCAGACGGCAACAGACTTAAGAAAGACCACTCAGCCTGCGGCGCTACAATGTACTGTGGCTTTTCTAGTGTGGGCACAGCCTTAAAATGCTCTTCACAAGCCCCGGAGGTTAACAAGGTTCCTAGTAAGTCATCCAAGTCAGCAACGCCACTTCAGGACAACTGTCTGTCTGCCAGGCTGACTGCGGGTGCAAGTAAGGCACAACTTGAGAAGTCTTACTCTTTCACACTGCTCCCTCGGGAGCCTTTCCAAAGTGGAATCTTGTGCTCCTGCCAAAGCTGAAACATGCAAGATTACCTAACATACTGCCAAGGGGAACAACTTGATTACAATCTGCTCCAGAGACACGGTACATCCCCCTGACAGCAAACTGGTGCAACCCCACCTATATCGCGTCAGTAGAACAGATGTTTTCCTATTTCATTCCAGACAACAATAGGTAATCTAGGTGAGAAGAAAAAGTCACAGTATATCTACTTATTAACCCACCAAGTATTTTCAAACCGAGTGGAAAGTGATTTACTCCCAGCTGCACTTCTCTCTCATCCACAAACTTCAAACCTTTTGTTTATAACAAAAACCAAAGAACATTTTAAAAGTCGGCTTCATCAAATAATCCTTAAGGTAATAAAATGTGAAGTATTAATACTATAATATACAGAATAATTGGTTCCCTTAACTTATCACAGTTCTAACATTTGGTTTGCTTATTGGACATTTATTGATCAGCTTTTAATTTAAAATTTGACTATTTGAAATTGAATATGTTTTGTTTCTGAAGGCCTCAGTCTGATTGATTAGTCTGGTTACAGACATACAAAAAGAACTGATCAAAATCATTATCTTAACTTTAATAGTGATGATAAACAGGAGATTTATCTTTTGCACAAAGAGTTGTGACAGTAAGGAAAAAAAGTCTAGTCATGTTGTCAGGGCAGATTTCTGCCATCTTCCAAGAAACGGTTATTGATCTAAGCATCCTGTCCAGTTATCAGCAACCATACGAGCAAGATAATCCAAAGATTAAAAATCCTCTCATTTGTAATCTATTTAGAACATCTGAATAAAAGAAAGTAGGTGAAAAGTTTAGATGACTTAAGAATGTTTAACAATATCACATCAATTGTACCAATTCACACACTATCAGGTCATTTTTAGGTATAACAGTTTTGTTTCTTCTCAAGTAGAGTAATTCTGGCCTATACTGAAAGGCAGTATTCTCTGTCAGAATACGCATTTCCTTTTTAAATTTAAAAAAAGTCTTAAATTTAGCAACTCCTTCCGAAGAGGAAAATGGTTCCAACAGGGATGTGAAGATTAGTAACTTCAAAAGGTCTCTAAACATTCTGGTATTTTAAACTGCCCATACACAAAGACGCCATTCTGCAGAAGCACTTTGCTTTCATAGTTTTAAAAGGAGAGTTTTGGCTGTCCATCAGCTTTCGATGTGGAGCTGTTGTTCATAATCATTTCACTACATAGTTTAGTTTCACAGAGGAGCACACCTCCTGTACATTCTTAATGGGCATAATATAGGCATACTTCCAGAAAGCAAACTGTAAATGTAGAATGAATCGCTGATTCTAAAGACAGTGACTGGACTTTACATTTACATTTCTGCAATTTCTTTACAAGAGAAAACACGCAAAAATGAAATTTTATAGGCTATTAACCTTGAATCTTCGCAGACGCCAAACAGAATTCTAATATGAGAATCACGCAGAGAATATACTACCAGACATTAACAAAATACTGTAAAAGCATGTGAGAAGCAATTCATGAAACCCGCAGCTATGTTCCTTAATCTAACAAGTTGTTAATGACTAAACTGTCAATTAAGCTAACCTCCAAGCCATTTATAGCTCAAAACTCTATTAATGCACCATATGGGAATTTACTTTTTATCAGTAACATGTTTGTATTTTAAAAATAATCACCCATCGAGTACAAAACGTACTTTAAGAAATTCAATTTATGGCCAAGTGTCCTGCACAGAAGAGCCTTTAAGAAATTTAGAACAACAGGAGCTCTGTGTCCTACAGTATCTCATCTCTGCGACACCACCAGTGCATCACATGAATCGTTGATGATGACCCACACAGCAGTATAGATGCAGTATTAAACTGGAAACACTGAATACTTTGCAAAATCATGTGGAAACTGTGGGCTTGTTTGCCAGTATTTAAAAATATTACCTTTACAATCCCAAGGGAGCCTGTTCAATCAAAAGGACATCATTATTTTGTATAGATCCTCATACTTGCAAAGCACTTATTAAAGTTAATGGGTTAATTAACTATAAATTATATGTGCAGTGCAGAACAGATTTATGTAAAGCATAAGTCTAACAATTATCAAGGGATAGACTATTTCTGCACATTGCAATTTTTTTCTTTTATTATATTGTACGTGCACCTACAGTGCACAGTACTTCATGCATTTGTAACAGTGAACATGCATTTAATATTTATCTTATGTTAAGTAATGTATGCCAGATCTGGTCATCACAGACCACCGTTAACATAATCTTGGACAGCATTCTAATAAAAGAAAGCCAAGAAGTAGAATCTAGGGTTCAGACAGTCTAAGCAATGCAGACAGTTTCAGGGGGCGATTTTAATGCCAAAGCATATGCTATAGATTTCCTTAAAAATATACATCACCCCTTAGACACTGTAGATTACATTATTCTCCATAATCACGGAAATAAATATTTGGTGGAAAGATTCAAAGTCCCAGAAAACACGGCATTCCCATTCTGTCAATAATAAACTCCTCACAGGTAGAGCCCCTTATGTCTGCTTCCCTTATAGAGAGCTATAAAGAGATTAAAATATTCAAATATATTATTAAAATAATATGAACATGGATGGTCTTCAGTCATTCCAGGACTCACAACCTCAATATAAGCTCAGGTGGGTAGCTGCGTCAGCATGCGTAGGCTGCAAAGGAACAAGTAATAGGTTTATTCCATGCTGAAAAAAAGAAGAAAGAGAACACAACGTTTCGGCCGTGGAGCCTTCTTCAGGTGTGAAGCCTTCTTCAGCTCAATATAAGCTGCCTGGCTCTGTACTGCAATGTGCACATACACTGGGGGGCGTTATTTCCTTCCACTGGAAATTGTGTCTTTTGTTTGATGTTGTATTTCCCACCTCAAAAGAAAATGAAAAGGAAACACAGTAAAAATGAAATGTTTCCCCCCTTCCCGTCTTAGAAAAAAATTGATTTTCAGTGGTGTGTTTTTTTTTTGTACTCTCTGTGGATTAGAGCATCCAGCAATGCTACAGAATGGCATCCTCTAACTGGTGACTTCTTTTGCTCTAATACACTGCATCCATTGATACTGGCTGTATGGATATATGCAAGATAATCTTTTTGTGTGCTATCTACCAGTATATTATCGCAACACCTTATTTTAGGGGTCACCCACAAATCACGTATGAGTTGTCCTTTATCACTAAAATGCAGCTTGGGAGCGCCAGTAAATGTTTCATCGTTCAATGCGTGTAACATTCACGCCACACATTTGTGCTTTGTGTGTAGTGCTTTACAGACTTTAGAACAAGACGTGGAACACAGAGCTTCTCTAAGACAGTGAGCTTGATAACAGGAATTTTAAGGTTAGCATTTCTGGGCAACCGGAGCCCCTCCCACTTCTGTCTGACCTTTAAACAACTAAAACAATCTGTTGTAACAATTGCGGACTTGTGTTTCCATAGAGGCTAAGGGGGGAAAATGTTACTGTGTTAGAATCCCAATTGGTACCGGATGAAAGCTTGCACTGACATCT